TTTGATGATTTTTGCCACATTTTTCACAGATTTGTCTGAAAATTGGTATTTGTAGGTCATAATGGGTTCTAGCTCCATTGGCGAAACATTTCATGTGTAGGTCCACGATTTGGTATAGCCCCCATATAACGACACCTCCCGATATTCGGCATTTTAATGGTTTTTGCCACATTTCTTCTAATGTTTCCTTTACCCTAAGGTGGAGGTTATTAAAAGTTTAACCCGGCCGAACTTAATGTTTTTATACCCTACACCACTAGGTGGTCAGGGTATTATGTCTTTGTGCATTTGTTTGTAATAGGCAAAAGGAAACGAGATAGACCCACAGTTCCTTTTGATGATCTACATAGAATCACATTCTGAGTCGATTTATGCATGTCCGTCCGTCCGTCCGTCCGTCCGTCTGTCCGTCCGTCTGTCCGTCTGTCCATGTATTTTTGTAAACAAAGTACAGTTCGCATTTATTGCCCTATCCAGATGAAATTTTGCACAAATCATTTGTTTGGCCCAAGGACGAACCCTATTGAAATTGGAGATAATCGGTAAAAATTTAGATATAGCTCCCATATATATCTTCGTCCGATTTGCCTTTTATTGTGCACCAAACGTGTATTATCAGCCCGAATTTTGCACATACAACCAAATTAGACCTGAAAATAAGTATGCCAAATTTTATCGAAATCGGTTCAGATACAGCTATAGCTCCCATATATATTGTTCATCCGATTTGTTATTTTTGTCCTCCGCAGCCGTAATATGCACTCTGTAACAACAATATTTGGGGAAATATATCAAATGCAGCTCAGAAATACCTTTGCTAAATTTTATCGAGATCGGTTCAGATTTGGATATAGCTCCCATATATAACTTCGTCCGATTTACCATTTATTGTGCACCAAACGTCTAATATTTGTCCAAATGGGATGGAATTTGGCACATACGACCGAATTTAGTCTAGAAGGTAGTGTGCCAAATTTGGTGAAGATCGGTTCAGATATAGTTATAGCTCCCATATATATTGTTCATCCGATTTGTTGTATTTGTTACCCACAGCCGTAATACGCACTCCGTAACAACGATATTCAGGGAAATATATCAAATACAGCTCAGAAATATCTTTGCCAAATTTTATCAAGATCGGTTCAGATTTGGATATAGTTTCCATATATATTTTTATCCGATTTCAAATTAATTTCGCACCAAATGGGCAATACAAGTCCGAATTTAAAAGATACAAATGCTTCGGCATATTTAGTCCTTTGAATTTTAAATTATAATTATAATCATAGCGTGTATGATTGAATTCTCCCATAAAAACTTTTAATTATTAAGTGGAGCTCAACTAAATTAGCAAAGTGGTGTAGGGTATCATAAAATCGGCCCCGCCCGACTTTAGGACTTTCTTTACTGGTTTTTACTTGTTTTCTTTTCCAACATAATTTGCTTCTATATTAGCTTTTTATACCCTCCGTCAAAATGTGAAGGGTATATTAAGTTTGTCATTCCGTTTGTAACACCTTGAAACATACATTTTAGACCCCAAAAAGTATATATATTCTTGATCAGCATAAATTTCTATGTCGACTTAGCGATGTCCGCCCGTCTATCCGTCTGTGTAAATCATTCTAGCTTCCGAACGAAATGAAGTAGGTTGATAAAATTTTACTCAAATGTATATTATGTCTGCAGAACTTTTGATATTGAAAATGGGCTATGTAGGTCCACGTCTCCGTATAGCCCCCATATAATGGTACCTCCCTATTTTTCGGTATTTTGGTGATTTAAGCTACATTATTCACCAGAAGTGTTTCAAATTTGTTATTCGAAGTTCGTAATGGATACTACAGCCTAAGACAGAAACTTGTCTGTGCAGGTCCACGTCTTCGTATAGACTCCATATAACAGTACCTCCCAATATTCGGTATTTTGGTGATTTAAGCGACATTATTTACCTGAAATGTTTCGAATGTGGTATTTGAAGTTCGTAATGGATACTACAGCCTAAGACAAAAAATTGTCTATGCAGGCCCACGTCTTTGTATAGCCCTCCCTATATTCAGTATTTTGACTCCGGATTTCAAATTTGGTATTTGAAGTTCGTAATGGATACTACAGCCTAAGACAGAAAATTGTCTGTGCAGGTCCACGTCTTCGTACAGCCCCCATATAACAGCACCTCCCGATATTCGGTATTTTGATGATTTTAGTGACCCTATTCACCGAAATTGTTTAACATTTGGTAATTGAAGTTCGCAATGGATACTGCAACCTAAGACAGAAAATTGTCTGTGCAGGTCCACGTTTTCGTATAGCCCCCATAAAAGAGTGTCTCGCGATAATCGGTATTTTGATGATTTTAGCTAAATTATTCACCGATTTGTTTAGGTTACGAATTTGAATATTGTAATGGCTTATGACAAAAGTGGCCTATGCAGGTCCATGTTCTAATATAACGGCTACATGTGGTATTTTTATAACTTTTAGAGAGTTTTTTTAAGGATGTTATTTCTTTGAAAATTGTCAAATTCGTTCCAAAATGGTGGAAGGTATTCCAAGTTCGGCCCGGTCGAACTTACAGCTTTTTTACTTGTTGTTGTTGTGCATTTGTTTGTAACATGAGACAGACCCATAGTTACTTTTGAGGATCTTCATTGAATCACTTTCTGAGTCGATACATGTCCGTCCGTTTGTCCATGTATTTTGGATAACAAAATAGTCGTATTTATTATTTGATTTAGATGAAATTTTCCAAACAATATTTGTTTGACCTAAGGACGAACCCTATTGAAATTGGTGAGAATCAGTTCAAATTTAATTATAGCTCACATATATATCTTTAACCGATTTCGGGTTTATTTTACCCCAAATACCCATATCAGTCCAAACGACCCGCTTTTTGGCACATCCGACCGAATATAGTCTAGAAGCAAGTACATCAAATTTGGAGAAAATCGGTTCAGATATAGCTATAGCTCCCATACATATGTTTCATCCGATTTGGGGGTTTAAGTCCCTCACATGTGTAATATACACTCCACAAGAATAATAGCGTGTCAATTCTTATCAAGATCGAATCAGATTAGAATTTAGCTCCCATATATATTCACAATTATGACAGATATACGTTTTGGAAATTGTGTCCCTTTGTGGTCGAGGTACCAGAACGAGTTGGCAGATATCTATTAGCTTCACAACAAATTTTTGGGTCGGAAAAAATTTTTGGATGTGTGGAATTTGAAGAGAGTTAGACGCTTATTTCGCGTTTTGTTTTTCAAAATTATGAACCCCTTATGGGGGAACTATCAGAAAGAGTGCGCCTATATATATCATTTTTATAGCAGATCTTGTGATGATAGAAATATTGAGATTGGCCAGGTACGGATGGAATCGGATGTTAATTTCGCGTTTCATGAGCTTCATGGATATTCAAAATTTTGATCCTTTGTGGGGGAGGTACCAGAAGAAGTGAACCGATATATCCTATCTAAGCAGCAGAACTTGTGTTAGTAAAAATAATGGGATGTGTGAAATATGAAGAGAACTGAATGCTTATTTCGGATATATGATCGATTTGGTTATTCAAAATTGTTACCCTCTGTGAGGGAGGTAGTAGAAAGAGTGGACCGATAGTGAAATTTAATGAAAATATTGTGCTGTGTGAAATTTGAAGGCAATCGGATCCTTACATCACATCTTATAAAAGATGAAATTATTCAAAATGTTGACTCTTTGCGGGTGAGGTACTTCATGGAGTTGACCGATATTATCCATTTTCGCACCAGCCCTGGCACGGATGCAAATATTAGGATTTGCAAACTTGGAGTAAAAAATGATTATCCTTTCTATATATATATATATATATATATATATATATATATATATATATATATATATATATATATATATATATATGTATATATATTATATATATATATATATATATATATATATATATATATATATATATATATATATATATATATATATATATATTTTGGAAATTTCGAACCTTTGTACCAGAAGGAATGGATCGATATTTCCTATCCCCGAACTAGATTTAAGTTTAATAATAATAATATTACGATGTACCAAGTATGGACCAAATACCATGCACCCTTCAAGATTTATCTTGAGCACCATCCAGACAGACGGATGGAGTCCAAATATCCTGAAAAGGATTCGGTCGAAAGAGACCTAAGGTCTAAAACCTTTATTTCGATGAGACACGTTTTGGTCGTATCAAATTATATGTATATACTCTTTGCAGCCATATAACTGAAGGTATAAAATATAAATTACAAAATATCGACTTTGCAATGTCTTCTAAAGCGGGACATCGACTTCGATTTACAAACTTTTCAATAACAAAAATTGACGAATCTAATACCTGAAAGCTCCATTGGAATTAAAAAATCTTAAGGTCTTTGAGGGAAATTTGAAAGAAAAGTCCACACACAATTCGATGTTTATCACGTAAAAAATATACTCCCACTTAAATATATGCTCTCACTTAAATATATTTAGAACATTATTTAGTTGATCTAAACCAAAATATTAAGAAAAAAAAACACGTAGCATAATTTTTTTGATTTTCAAAACCACCATTGCATTATTACAGTTATAGTTGCTTATTATCATATATTAAATTATATTATCCTAAAATTATAATAAAATAGCACCTAGTGTTGAACACCAAAAAAAAACCTTTTAAAAAATATTCAAACACAATTTTTAATAAATCTTGGTTAATATTTCATAAAAAAAATTCTGGGTCACATTTCAAAGGGTAATTCACATTGCATTGAGTTGATATCGAGTAGCGACGTATCATGGCTTAATTTATCAATTACAATAAATATATTTACGTATTAGTAGTTAATTTTTAATTTTTAGAGGAATTAAATATATATTTTTTAGTTTTTAAAATTATTTTTTCCGTTGCCAAACATTAAAACTTTGCTACATTTTTTCGTATTGTTTTCTCTTATGTTTTTTTGCAGATTTCATTGCGTGCATGTCTTACGAATTAGCACAACTGTTGTTGCAAATGTTATAAGGCAAACTTTTGTTTTGTGGCATCTCATAAATAACTCAGAACAAATTTTCGCAAAAAAAAAAAAAAGAAAAACAAAATATCACAAAACTTAAAAGAAGCTCACACAAAGCATCAACAAATATTCAAAGATTTTAAAGTGTAATTTGCGCAAAAAAATATTTAAAATTATTGTCGGCGCTGTCAAGCAAAAAGCAAACATAAAACGCCAAACAACATGGCCGATGATATCGCATCGATGCGCATGATGCAGAAGAAGACCCGCAGTGCTTCCATATGTGCCACCGGTGGTGGCAGTCTCGAAAATGCCATCTACAACATGCCCTCGGGCAACAATACACCGGAGAATTCGGGTACGCCCAGTTATCGGAGACGTCGTCCCGCCACCCGATCACAGAGTGCGCGGATAACAGCAACGGCCGGAAGATCGGTAAGTAGTTATTTGCATTGATTTTTATTCACTAGGCAAATATTATTGGCTTTATTAAATATTTAAGTTGCTTACCAAAGTTTACCTAGAATTTGTAATAATCACTTTATTTTAATATTTTATGAAAGTATCTTTGGAAAAATTCGCCACGACTCAAAACTGCACACATATGTACCAAGGTATGAAGGTATCCACGTACATATGGTGTGTTCATGCCCTTGTGAGTCACTTTCTTGTATTTGCTTTCAAACACACATGCATACATACATATGTATGTGCATATACTATAATGTAATTTAAATGGATACCCGCACTGCACAGACTCACACACATGTGTTCATAATTTTGTTTTCATCTCGACATGTGTTCTGTACCGACGTCTTGTCGTTTATTTAAGTTTATTAAAGAGAATTTATTTATTCTACAGTGGCAAAGGGGTGGATCTGTAGGTGTATAGAACGACTGGTATTGGATTATTTATAGCCCAGTATAAACATATCATCTTATTTTTGGCATTTTATGTTTTCCACTCCCAATTTATCAACGACTCTGACTTCGGAGTCAACCCTGAAAAAAAACAAGTAAAACAGCTGTAAGTTCGGCCGGGCCGAACTTTGAATGCTCTCCAACATTTGGAACGAATTTGGAAATTTTCAAAAAAAAAATAAAATCCGTTAAAAATTCTGTTAAAATCTTAAAAATACCGAATGTAGCCGTATATTAGGGTCTAGACAACGACGTGGCAACTTTTGTCCCAAGCTATTACAATATTCAAATGCGAAACTTGTAAAAATCTGTTTATAATGTAGCTAAAGTCATCAAAATACCGAATATAGGGTGGTACCTTGGGGGTTATAAAACGTGGACCTGCACATACTATTTTCTATTTGTCATAGACAATTTTCTGTCATTACGAACTTCAAATACAAAATTTGAAACAAATGCGGTTAATAATGTCGCTAAAATCAACAAAGTACCGAATATCGGGAGGTACAGTTATAGGGGGGGTTATACGTAGACGTGAACCTGCACAGACAATTTTCTGTCTTAGGCTGTAGTATCCATTACGAACTTCAAATACCTAATTTAAAACAATTCCGGTGAATAATGTGGCTAAAGTCATCAAAATACCGAATATCGGGAGGTACAGTAATATGGGGGCTATACGAAGACGTGGACCTGCACAGACAATTTCCTGTCTTAGGCTGTAGTATCCATTACGAACTTCAAATGCTAAATTTAAAAGGATTCCGGTAAATAATGTTGCTAAAATCAACAAAGTGGCGAATATCGGGAGGTGCTCTTATATGGGGGCTTTACGAAGGCGTGGACCAACATGGCCCATTTTCAATAGCAAAAGTCCTACAGACATAATACATATTTGAGTAATTTTTTATCAACTTACTTCATTTCATTCGGGAGCTAGAGTGATATCCACAGACGGACGGACATCGTTAAATAGACATATAATTTTATGCCGATCAAGTGTGGGGTCTAAAATGTATATCTCGAGGTGCTACAAACGGAATGACAAACATAATATACCATCCATACTATGGCGGAGGGTATAAAAATCTATGCAATTTGGTTTGAAGTTGAATTGAAGTTGTGTATCGAAGGTGCATAAAAATATGAGCCGATCTCGATAAAATTTAGCAGATTTATTTTCAACCTGTATATGATGTCCGGTATAAAATATCCTTTTTGTGGAGTGCATATTACGCATGTGTGATATAAAACATATATATATGGGAGCTATAGCAATATCTGAACCGATTTTCACCCAAAATTTGAAGTACTTGCTTCTGGCTGAATTCCATCCAAAGTGTCAAAATTCAGTCCATTTCCAAATCCAAACCGATCTTGACAAAATTTTGGGCACTTAATTCTGAGCTGCATCTGATATCTGGTACCAAAGATCATTGTTGTGGAGTGCACATTAACCATGTGAGGGACTTACAACCCCAAAACGGGATCTGTAGCTATATCTGGACCGATTTTTACCAAAATTTGAAGCACTTGGTTTTGGGATGAATTCCGTCGGAAGTGCCACAATTCACCCCATTTGGACTGATATTAGCCATCTGAAATCTGAAATATATTTATGGAAACTATATCCAAATCCGAACCGATCTTGACAACATAATGAGCACTTATTTCTGAGCTGCATCTGATATCTGGTGCCAAAGATCATTGTTTCGAAATGCAGATTATGCATGTGACGGACTTAAAACCCCAAATCGGATGAATTAATGGGAGCTTTAGCAAAATATGGGTCGCATACGTACGATTGAGATGAAATTTTACACAAATCAATTCTTTTGAAATTTTTGAAAATCGGTCCAAATTTAGATAGAGCTTCCATATATGTCTTCGTCCGATCTCAAATTTATTAGGCGCCATATGGGAAATATTCGTCCAAACAGGATATATTTCGGCACATCCGACCGAAGCAAGTACTTAAAATAAGATACTTGGTTCAGATATAGCTATCTATATATATGTCTTATCCGGTGCTTAAGTCCCTTACATTAGTAAATCACACTCCACAAGAATGATATTTGATACCATATATCTCATACAGCTCAGAAATACCTCTGCCAAACTTGATCAAGGTCGGTTCAGACTTGGATATAGATTCCATAAATATCTTTATCCAATTTCAGACTGATATAATATATATAATAACCAAATATATAATATCAGCCAAAATTGGATGGATTTTCGCACATTCAACCCAACTTTTGTTGTTGTTGTAACTCGGTTTCCATACATCTAGGACCACAAGGTGGTCAGGGTATTATTTATTTGTGCATTTGTTTGTGACAGGCAAAAGGAAACGAGATAGACCCATAGTTCCTTTTGATGATCTGCATAGAATCACATACTGAGTCGATTTATGCATGTCCGCCCATCCGTCTATCTGTCCGTCCGTCTGTCCATGTATTTTTGTGAACAAAGTACAGTTCGCATTTATTGCCCTATCCAGATGACATTTTCCACAAATCATTTGTTTGGCCCAAGGACGAACCCTATTGGAATTGGAGATAATCGGTCAAAATTTAGATATAGCTTCCATATATATCTTCGTCCGATTTGCCTTTTATTGTGCACCAAACGTGTAATACCAGCCCGAATAGTATGGAATTTTGCACATACAACCAAATGAGATCTGAAAATAAGTATGCCAAATTTGATCCAAATCGGTTCAGATATAGCTATAGCTCCCATATATATTGTTCATCCGATTTGTTATTTTTGTCCTCCACACCCGTAATATGCACTCTGTAATAACAATATTTGGGGAAATATATCAAATATAGCTCAGAAATACATTTGCTAAATTTTATCGAAATCGGTTCAGATTTGGATATAGCTGCCATATGTAACTTCGCCCGATTTAACTTTTATTGTGCATCAAGCGTCTAATATTTGCCCAAATGGGATGAAATATGGCACATACCACCGAATTGAGTCTAGAAGCTAGTATGTCAAATTTGGTGCAGATCGGTTCAGATATAACTATAGCTCCCATATATACTGTTCATGCGATTTGTCATATTTGTTACCCACAGCCGTAATAAGCACTCCGTAACAACGGTATTCAGGATAATACATCAAATACAGTTCAGAAATACCTTTGCTAAATTTTATCGAGATCGGTTTCGATTTGGATACATCTCCCATATACAACTTCATCCGATTTATATTTTATTGTGCATGGGATGAAATTTGGCACTTACGACCAAATTGAGTCTAGAAGCTAGTATGTCAAATTTGATCGAAATCGGTTCAGATATAGCTATAGCTACCGTATATATTGTTCATCCGATTTGTTATATTTGTTACCCACAGCCGTAATATGCACTCCGTAACAACGATATTCAGGGAAATATATGAAATTCAGCTCAAAAATATCTTTGCCAAATTCCGATTTGGATATATTCCGATTTGGATATAGCTCCCGAATTTAAAGGATACAAATGCTTCGGCATATTTAGTCTTTTGAACTTTAAATTATAATTATAATCATAGCGAGCATGATTGAATTCTCCCACAACAGCTTTTAATTGTTATGCGGAGCTCTATTAAATTAGCAAAGTGGTGTAGGGTATTTAGGTGAAGGGAATTTAGGTGAAGTAGATTATACCGACTAAAACCTTTTTTGTGTGCGAAGTATATTGTGGCTCTAGAACCGTTATAATTTAGAATCAAGGGGAATTAATATATGGGAGATATATCGGGCGGGGCCGACTTTATGACTTTCTTTACTGGTTTAATTTAGGGCTGCTCGAAGTGATATCATGTGCTCTATTGCAATGTTATTTGGTACGAGAGGTACAAATGCCAATTTTGTGAAAATCGATCCAGAGTGGGATATATCTCCTATATATTAATTCCCCTTGATTCTAAATTATAACGGCTCTAGAGCCACAGTATACTTCGCACACAAAAAGGTTTTAGTCGGTATAATCTACTTCACCTAAATTCCCAATGCAAACATTTTTGTTATTAGTAGCTTTACTAAAAATGTATAGTTCTGATGGGTGTCATATATTCGGCGCCGCCCCCTTTTTTGGCCGTTCTTTACTATTTTATCGTGTTTCCATTCGCAGCCACTGTACAACGTGCAACCTTTTACAACAATCATTTTTCTCATCGCCGCCATTCCCCCAACGTATGTTCGTGCATCCTTGGTGCTTTGTTTACACGAGATGTACATCTCACATGACTTGTTTCACTTTTTGTCTTTCCATTCGATTTTTTTACACTTCCACGACATACATTGCCACACATACATACATCTTCAATATACATATGAACATGTGTATATTTATGCATATTCCACTTCTTGTTACCTTCTTCTTCCATCTTCCATTTTAACTTGAAAGACAGTTCCTTTGGCAGTTTCTGTTTTATTTATTTTATTAACAAGCTACAGCAACAACAACAACAAATTGTCTGTTAAATTAAGTGATAGGCGGCAGACGTCTATAAGT